AGAGGGAGGGGCAGAGGGAGAAGACTCCCTCTGAGCAAGGAGCCGTACCCCATGGCGGCTGAACCCATGATTCTAGGATCATGACCTGAACAGAAAGCAGATACTTAACTGACTGAGCCACCTAGATGCCCCTTCAATCTTCATTTTAACCAGAATTTCTTCAAGTAAGACAACTCATGGATCACTCACTGACACTCCCTGAACTATGGCCCAGAATCCTTCTCATGTTACAAATGTTCTTATAATCACTTGAGTGATCTGTTTTTATGGAATTCTATTTCTTCTGCCCACTTCTTGGAATTTTGCTTCTTGTGACTTTGTCCTTGTTTATCCTTCTACTTCTACATTCTGTCCATAAATATATTTATATACACTCTAAATATTTACACTACAGAATTAAGATTTCTCATTGCCCTACTTATCAACTGATATTAAAACAGCTCTTAGTTTCTATTTTTTTCCATAATGTGTTGTTTTCCATAGAAATCTATGGACACTTTAAACCATTTCTAAACTCTAATTCAACTTTTTACAGGAAATGTTTCTTTCATGAATGTTTCCTATCTAGGTTAATTGTATCAATGCCATAATAAAATATTATTTATTAATCCTTATTTTCAAAATCAACCTATAACATAAGCATGGGGGATTTAATTACTGAGAAGAATGTAAATATTATCTATCTTAACAATGTGAAAGAAGATGCAGTGGAGAGAAGTTGGGTTATGAATGAGATATAGAACGGGGTAGTAAGACATGGAAGAGTGAAAGTGGGAATCTCTTCATCACACATAGTTGAAAGTTGAGATATAACTAACATAATAACAAAAAACCAGTTATGAATAAAGTAATATTATCAAGAGCTGTAAATATAAACAATAAAAATATACAAATTTCTCAAACTAAGGAAAGGATGAGGGAAAAAGTCAATAAATTATAACTTAGGAAAGAAAGTATGTTGCTTAAAGGTGTGGAGATAATCACAAGAAATGAAATCATACAAGGTTAAAAGTACCTGCCTTTTCTTTGTGGAGGTAAGGATTGTTTTTCATAAATTGTTATAATTTAGTTGGTTTCACTTTGCTCTCTCTTCTCCCTCATACACACACACACACAGTGGATGTTATTTATAATATGTATAATATATTTTTTGTATATGAGGAAAATACATGTATGTGTAGTATTGTTTGTGTCAAATTCCTAGGTATATGGTAATACCTTTCAATACATACATTTAGGTTTAGTCTTACCTATGAAAATATTTTCAGGATACCTGGGCGGCTCAGTTGGTTAAGCAACTACCTTTGGGTCAGGTCATGATTCTGGAGTCCCAGGATCGAGTCCTGCATGGGGCTCCCTGCTCAGCAGGGAGTCTGCTTTTCCCTCTGACTCCTCCCCTTTCATGCTCTCTCTCTCTCATCTCTCTCTCGCAAATGAATAAATAAAATCTTAAAAAAAGAAAATATTTTTCATTTATACTTTTAAATACTAGTTGTTTTATAATTTCTTAAATTATTCTTCAAAGGGTCCAGGGATAAGTATCCTGGAGCTTCTTTGTCTCCTCTTTATTTCAAGGTCATTTTTCCTCTTTTCTTCTTTCTTTATTTTTATCTCATAACTGTTTCTTCGTTAATTTCCTGCTTGATTTTAATGACTCTTATGGAATTTTTATTTGAATCTATTTCCCTCTGGATATTTCGTAATTTGTCATTTTTGAATTTTTTTATTCTTTAATTTTGATGAACTTGTTACATTCCTCAATCCCTTTTTTTTTGTATTTTTCATTCCTCTTGGTTTTTTATTTTGAATACAAATTTTAAATATACATCTCCAACTTTTAATTATTTGAATATAGTTGACACAAAATTAGCTTTAGGTATATAACATAGTAACTCAACTTCTCTATACATTTCTCTATGCTAACTTAGCTATCATCCATTACCATTCAACACTATTACAATACCATTGACTATATTTCCTATGCTATGCCTTTCATTCCCATGATTATTCATTCCATAATTGAAGCTTGTATCTCCTACTCCCTTTTACCTATTTTGCCCATCCTCTCTACTCCCTTTCCTCCGGCAATCAACAGTTTGTTTTCTATATTTATAAGTCTGATTTTGCTTTTTGTTTATTTATTTATTTTGGTTTTTAGATATGAATAAAATCATATGGTATCTGTCTTTCTCAATCTATTTTACATGGCATAAATATCATCTAGGTCCATCCATGTTGTTGAAAATGGCAAGTTCTTTTTTTTTTTTTAACAGTTGTGTAATCTTCCATTGTGTATATATACGACATCTTATCCATTCATCTATACAGGGACACTTGGTTTGTCTCCTATCTTGGCTATTGTAAACAATTCTGTAGTAAACATTGGGGTCCATATATCTTTTTGAATTAGTGTTTTCATTTTCTTTGGGTAAAACACCAGTAGTGAAATTATTGGATCATATGGTATTTTTTTTAAAGATTTTATTTATTTGACAGACAGAGATCACAAGAGAGGCAGGCAGAGAGAGAAGGGGGAAGCAGGCTCCCTGCTGAGCAGAGAGCCCGATGTGGGGCTCGATTCCAGGACCCTGAGATCATGACCTGAGCAGAAGGCAGAGGCTTTAACCCACTGAGCCACCCAGGCGCCCCATATCATATGGTATTTTTGAAATTTATTTCAATTTGATGTGTTGCATTACAGTTTTATTTTTCTGTTTTGTATTTGTTTTTAGACATAAGGGTCTCATTAGCTGAATTGTCTTGATTAACCTCTTTTTTCCTCCAGCTTTATAGAGGCATAAGTGAAAAATACAACTGTAATATATTTAAAGTGTACAGGGTGGGGATTTGTTATATGTTTATATAGTGAAATGATTACCACAACCGAGTTAATTAATACATCCATCAGTTTACATAGTTACCTTTTTTGTGTGTGCATGAAAATGCGTAAGATTTACTCTCAGCCAATTTCAAGTATACAATACAGTATCTTAACAACAGTCACCAGACTGTATATTAAATACTCAAAGCTTATTCATCTTATAACTGAAAGTGTGTGCTCTTTTACCAACATCTCCCAATTTCTTCTATCCCTCATTTTCCACCATTCTACTCTGTTTCTATGATTTTAATTTCTTTCTAAGATTCCACATAGGGGTGCCTGGGTGGCTCAGTGGGTTAGGCCTCTACCTTCGGCTCAGATCATGATCTCAGGATCCTGGGATCAAGTCCCGCATCGGGCTCTCTGCTGGGCAGGGAGCCTGCTTCCTCCTCCCTCTCTCTCTCTCTCTCTCTGCCTGCCTCTCTGCCTACTTGTGGTCTCTCTCTGTCAAATAAATAAAATCTTTAAAAAAAAAAAAGATTCCACATAAAAAATATTTCACCACATATATATATATTATATAAATACATAAAAATATATATATAGTGATATATAATGTGTCTTTTGTGTGTATATATATACACACACAATGGTGTATATATATATACATATATATATATATGTATATATGTATAACATTTTCTTTACTCATTCTTCTTTTGAGGGACACCAACATTGTTTCCATACCTTGCTATTGTGAATAATGTTGCAATAAACATTCATCACCATACCCTCCTTATAACAAACATATCTTAAAAGTTTGTCCAATTTTATAAATCTAAAAGTTACTTTATTTTAAATTATTTTAGGTTAAATAATATTCACAGATTTATGGGTCATATTTTTATGGGGAGAAATTTGTGAATTATCTGCTTATGTCTTTTGTTCATTCTAGGATATTTGTTTTTTTTTAATCTTCATAATTTCTTTAAGTATTCTTTATATATAAATGGCATCATTTTTTTTTATTTTTGTTACAAATGTTTACCCAATTATCCATTTATATTTTGATATTATTTAGAACATTCTATTGATCTACAGAATTTTTAATGTAGTTAAATTTAATAATCCTTTTACTGTAAATTCTTCCTTTTTAGCTAGAGCTTAGAAAGCCTTTCTCAATCTTTTTTTTTTAAGATTTATTTATTTATTTATTTGACAGGCAGAGATCACAAGTAGGCAGGCAGAGAGAGAGGAGAAAGCAGGCTCCCCGTGGAGCAGAGACCCGGATGCGGGGCTCGATCCCAGGATCCTGGGATCATGACCTGAGCTGAAGGCAGAGGCTTTAACCCACTGAGCCACCCAGGCGCCCCGCCTTTCTCAATCTTAATATCAGTAAAAGATTTGTGCACATTTTTCCACTTGTTATGATTTTAAACATATTTATTACTCAATCTAAAATTTATATTTGTGTATAATATATGGTAATAAAAATGAATGTTTTTCTAAGTCTACCAGGACTGCTTCAGAGTATTCTTCTGCTCTATGGCTTTTAAAATGACACCAACACTAAATTACCTTAATTATTGTAGTTTTGTATATTTTAGTAACTGGTAGGGCAAGAACCATATTATTTTACTGCTCTTTGGCTAGCTCTATAAAATAATATTTTGAAGCTATAATAAACATTTTATTGCTTTTGGAATTTACACATAATGTATGATTCTTTCATGTACATCATTAAGTCACTGCGATTTAAATATATATTTGGTTGATATTTCAGTAGCAAAAGATATCGTGAATCTTGATGACACACAAATCATTACAACTAAAGTTATGTAGTTATGGAAATCAAATACTCAGCTTCACTGAAATCAGTTTGATTTACCAATTTCTTTGTAAAATAATATGCTAATATGAAGCACAGAAAAGATTCCTAAGGTGACATGGTATAAAGGAGATTTCTAAAATAATTTTTGGCCATTTATGAGAAACTTTCCCATATTTATTTACCAAAACCTCTAGAACTACACACCTACAGCTTTCTAATTCTATATTATTTGTGTTTCTCCCACCATTTAGTTTTTAGCACCTGCCTCTTAGAGAAACTTAGGTTTCACTACTGTGACAAATGTTTCTACCAATTATAAATGTTAAGCTTCATTTTCCACATAATTACCTTGTGAAGTCTGTCATCTCCATCATAATCATACACATCTTCTTGGCCAGAACAATGATATCATTGCTGGTATCATCCCAAATCTCAATCTCAGCATCCAGTTTACTCTTTACTTTCTTGAAATCAGCAACTTGCTCAGCAATCTTTTCCTTTTCTGCCTCAGGCAATTGAGTCATCTTAGCCTAAAACATGTGATAAGTAGATTTATAATCATTCCACTATGCCAAAAAGCATTTTAGGAACAAGTGGTCATTATAAGATATTCTTAAACTTGTTCATTGAGAAACAGAGACATGTCACAATTTTTTAAAAATCATAGAATCAAACTTTCTAGGCTTAATTTTTCCTATGGAAAAAATCTATTAAACGATAAATGTTTGCTCTAGAACTACAATGTTAAATTTGAGAATAACAATGTATAATTTAGTATCTGACATATTTAATTCTTCTCCTTAATATAAATGTGAGACTTCTTAAATTTCTAATGCAATATAATTTTAAATTAACTCAGGCTTAATACATTTAAAAGCATATACCTTATTTAATTGTACCAATAATATTTTTCAAAAGGTAGAAGTATAACAAAACTATCTGGAAATGTCTACTGGCATTATAATGTCTATTTATACATGTATGTATATACATTCAGACAGATCCTTATACAAACAATGCATACATATTGGGTAAAAATAATAATATACATTTATAAATCATATGTATTAGATAAGCACATGTTTAAAATCATAAGGATGTATATGGGTATTTTGTACATATAAATACATTCAAGTGTGTATGTGTATACAAACTATTTGAGGGAAGAGTAAAAATGTTATGGGCAGGGTTTATTAAGGCAGCCTTCACTAATTAGCATCCTGAGTTTTGAGGTTCTCTTCTCCCATGCCCAGCTAACTTGTTGGGTTGGCTTAGTATTATTCTTTGGATATGTCGAATTTTTAACAGCGTGTAACTTGCATTTTCCACTTGGAATCTGAAATGTGGGAAGGATAGAAAACCATCTAAACCATCATATTCGCAGCATTAGCACCTGGGACCTATAAATTTTTGTCAAATGAAGAATCTTTTTTTTTTTTTTTCAAATGAAGAATCTTGAAGAAAAAGTGATTTGATAGTATCAAGGCCACAAAATTTAGGCAACAGCCTGTGCAATCATATTCTCAAAAAAAAAAAATCTATATGCATTCTAATAGGATGAGTACATGGGCCTTAGAGGGAGTAGTTAAAATGATAAATCATTTAAGTAAATTTTACTTATTATTCACACTGAATATGTGATACCTACAATGCCTATATACTTTCAGATGCTAGTCTCTAGGACATCCATATAATAGCAAAGAAGGAAAATCACCTCAAAAGCTTTGAAATATTCTGGACACTAGGCTCAAAGTAGTTGAAATACACTTTATTTAATCAATAGTGTACAAGAGCAAAAAAGCTTAAATATATGAATGAAGGAATTACAAGTATGATCAGTGGAAAATCCAACAAAAAAATGAAAATTAAAGAACCAATATCAAGTGTCTGTCATTTATTGTCTATTTACTATAAGACTAACTCAGGGTCTAAAATAACTCGGTGTCTGTGAAATCTCAGCATAAATTATCCATGCTTCAGTTTTAACCTAGTAATGAAAATAAACAATGAAGCTTTCCAAATCGAAGCTTTCTTTAAATTTCTTAGCATAATGTTTGACACATAGCAAATGTTTAATAAATGAAAACTATTTCCTATTCAGTAAAAAATTTATAAAATATATTCCCATATCAAGTACTTAATATTTTTCATTTTTTGCATTATTTTATTTGAAGAATTAAATTAAGCTATGAGAATGGGCTTTTAACTGATGAGCTATACAGGTGTCTCTTCCTTAGAATCTGAATCATTTGTAGTTTCCTTTCTCAGGCAATGTGACCTACTAAAAGAAAAGCAACTTTTACTACTGCTGGCATATAGCAAGGCACATAAGTGAAGACACAGCTCACTTATGTCTGAAATCAATAGCATGCAAACACATTAAGTAAATTGTAAGCTACTAACCCATTAAAGTAGCTCAAACATTGACATGAATTTTCTCCATCTTGACTACTGGTCATTACCATTCTCTCCATTTTCATTAAAAAAAAAAAGTTTAAACTTTTCAATAATAATAGATGTAGGTAGATTCAACTGGGACCCCTTTTTATGGTCTTTGTCTCAGAGGTAACAAATCCATGAATTGGGATCTAATAAATAATTTTGAAGTATACAGTGGAATATCATGGAAAATTATTTACCATCCTCATTAAAAAAAAAAAAAAAAAGGTTATTCAAGAGGTGTGGTTAAGTGTATTTTAAGTTCTGTTCCTTAGAATCCTACTGATTTCCAATATGACCTTAAGGAAGTCCCTTAACCTTCCTGTCTAAGTTTCTCCAGACATGAAATGACAGTAATTGCAGCTGCTACCAACCTGCCATGCAGGGACCAGAGTAGATTATTGGATAGCACTGAGGCTGACCCTGTCACGCACAGGAGTCTCATCGGTTGCACTCGATTTCCTTAATAACATCTCAACTCACATGGTGAATTATAATCACCAGATGTTTACTTCTGACAGGATAAGGACCAAAAGTTGGGTGATAGTTTATAAAATTGAGAAAATTCTAGTAAATTCTCACTCTCCCACAGGAGGAACAACATCAAAAAACCATTAAATGACTGACATCTTTCCTGAAGATTTTTAGTGCTTCTGTGAATGATATATTCTATTAATCAATTTAAATCAAAACAAGACCTAGGAGAACACTTCCTCTTCAGAAATTCTGAGCAAAAATTCTTTATTGGTTAATTGCATGCAGGATAAGGAAAGAAACAAAGCTTAACACAAAGTGGGATTTCTGATGTTATTGCTGGCTGGCAATATGTCCCAGCTTCTGCACGAATCTATAGAGTAGAACTGTGATATAAGTAGCTATCAAAGGCTTTTGGAATCACTGCCATCCCAGTGAGATTCTATTTTGTGTCAACTGACATTTGGAATTTTCTGCCAAGACAAAAATAGCTAACACTTAGATATGCCAGACACTCTTCCAGGCACCTTACATATATTTAACTTCACTCTTCATCGCAGCCCTATGAGGTAACTATACTATTATCCTAATTTTAGTATATTATGAAACTGAGTGTGCCGAAGGTTAAGTTATGAACTCAAGATCATAGTGTTAGTAAATGGTAGAGCCAGTATGGAAGCTTAGAAATTCTGGCTCTAGTGTTCTTGTCCTTTTATGATGCCAACAAACATGAGCAACATTGCCCACAATATAACAAAATATTCCCATTCAACTCGATGTTATTTCTGTCACCTTCTCCTTTTGAATCCGATTATTCTCCAAAGTCTAGTCACATATATTCTAGAATCTGTTTCCTCATTTGTAAACTAAAGACAATGATATTCACCTCACAGGTTGTCTTAGAGATAAACGAATGAATGTGTATGAAGCACTTTTTATTCTCCTTAGTTGTCTTTAAATGCCCGCTGTTAACTTACACTAACAGACTCAATTCTTCATTCTCTACAGTGATCCTCAGAATTCTATTTCTAATGCTATCTTCCTTTTTTAAAAAATTTGTATTTTTCCGTCACCATATTAAGCATTCCAAGTATCTATATTTCCCGATATCTATAGCTATATCTGTATCTACACACATGCTTATATATGATATAACAATATATAATTTATAATTTCAGCTCTAAAGCAGGGGTTAGCAGAATTTTTCTGTAAAAGGCAAGACAGTAAATAATGTATGCTTTTTAGGCCATACCATAGCACTCCCTGGCAAGACTCAATTCTGCTGCTGTTGTAATAATGCAAGAGCAGCCCTACACCATGCAAACCAATGAGTGTGGCTGTATCCCAAAAAATTTACATGGGCATTGAAACTTCAGTTTCATATAATGTTCATGTGTCCTAAATATTATTCTGATTACATCTATTCTGATTTTTTTTCAACCACTTAACAATGTAAAAACCATGCCTAGCTCACAGGTTATACAAAAATAGTTGACGGGTCAGATTTGACTGTAGTTTGCCAACATTTGCCCAGTCCTTTATCCTCTTGATTTCTGTGTTTCTCCATAGTACTGCCTGCCACCCAGTCTTGCATCCCTTTTAAAAAAATTTTCCCTTTCTTTATGTATCCCATTCTGTCTGGCAGACAGAAAATTGGTCCATTTCATCTCCAGTATTTTTATCACAACCATGTCCTAGTCTGTTTCCCAGGTCAATTTTGTCTTTCATTTTCAATCCTTTTGTCTTGTTATCACTTGATCCAATCTATCAGATTTTCATAGAATTGTGTAAGTCTTCAGCTAAAGACAAGAGCTTCTAAGTCTCCTTACTGAATAAAGAATATTAATTCCTCAAATACCATCCTTCAATTTCTTTAACTAAAGTAGAAAATTTATATAGAAAAATGCCCAAGTCATAAAGGTACACCTGAAACTATTTTCATAAACTGAATGCATCCTTGTACCTAGCACCCAAATAAACAAAACAAAAACAAACACACAAAGGTTTGCCAGCACTCCTGGAAGCCTCCTTGGGACCTATTCTAGTCACTATCTCCCAAGAACCATCACTCTCTTGATTTCAAAAACTATAGATTTTCCTGTTTTTGAATCCTATAAAAATGAAATGATGGTATATGTGATCTTGTACCGGGCTTTTTATGTCCAACATTTATATATTTGAAATACATATACAGTGTTGCATGGTGTTATGTTTATTCTCCTTGCTCTGCACACACAGAATTCCACTGTGCAAATGTACATCATCTACTGATGTGCTTCTATTAATAATCTTTTGGGAAGTATTCCATTTCTGGCTGTTATGTATAGTGAATCTTCTCTTATTTTTCTTTTGGTGGACATATTCATGTACTTTTCTTGAGTATATATCAGGTAAAATTACTGGGCCTCAGAGATCAACATAAACTTTGCCTGTAATCACTTTTCAATGCCATTTCATCTTCCTTTCATACACTGCACCCTCAAGCTAAACAATTTGCTGTTACAGGTGAATATATTGAGATATTACCCATTAATGATTTTGCTGATCTTTCCTCTCCCCATCTTTGTTGGTCCAAACTTAATTCTATTTTCAAGCCAAATGTATGTAGTCCATTCTC